GGGGGTAGTTCCTTTCAAAGTCATATTAAATACGGTCTAATAAAGATTCCATCTGAAGTACAAATGCTCTAGTCTTACAAAGTCCTTTATCTCATCTAGATGCCAAGTCTGGTTTGTATTATAGTGCAAGAGACCTAGAGTTCCTGTACTTCGTTCATTCTTTGAGTGTCTTGGGACGTCTTCTCTTGTATAATGATGGCAGGGCTTTATTCCCTATTGATCTCCCCAAACGACAAGGTAAGACAGCTTAAAAAGGTCAGTTGTTCAATGCTTTGACCAATATGACCTTTATCACGTTTTCAGTACAGTGAACGGCTGATTTCGACGATACGGCTGCCATCTTCCCAGGGGGCAAAACAAAACAAAGATGAAGGAAAATATCTATAGTCTCAAGTGTTTGTCTTTCTTGTATGGGTAAAGGTGATCGATGTGGCGTCTTGATTCATCTTTTGTTGTATTCTATTGGGTTAAGCTGTTAACATCAATAGACGTCATTAGCATAATTACAATGCTTTATTTGTCCCCTGGACGCCCCATAATGCCCTGCAATCCAAGATAGACGCCGTATCGTCAAAGTAGTCCATTCCTTGAGGTTGGCCGCTCAATGGAGGCTTGGCTCTAATATTGTTTCATTTCATACCAAGTACCTCAAATGGCGGATTATACGCATGGCACTATTTTGCACCTGTCATTCATGTCTACAGGTCCATTTATAGCCTGCGTAGTGGCCGTCTGGTAAGGAATTTTGGGCGAGAGAAGGGAGAGTGAGAGGGGACTGGGGAGGGGAAAAGGGGAGGGGAGGGGGGCTGGGGAAGAGGGGGGAGGGGAGGAGGGACCAAAATTCCCAACCAGAGGGCCGCTACGCAGGCTAGTCCATTTATCTATTTTGAAATACGGCAGAAGACAGTCTTTACACCCATTTTCATCATAGACGTCTGAGTTTTTGGCTTCGGTCGATCAAAAAATTACACTGGTGGAAATTTGATTGACGGTAGCCAAGAACCCAGACGACTTGAATTATAACTAGATGTGTGGGTCGCGTGAAGATGTCCATGTATATAATAGAATGTTATGGACTTCTCTTTATTTCAGAGACAGTCACAGTCACGGATCTTTTGGTTGTATTCATCAAGATCATGTGTATTCCAATGCCTCGTTCTATAACCAAAGCTGTTATGGGCGGTAAGGTGTTTTGAAGTATCATCCCAGTACATGCATGTAGTTATAAGTTATGCACGCTAAAGTGAGAAAAGTGAGGCATATGGAAGCGTATAAAAAATATAGTCCAAAACTGCACCCACTTTTATTTCTGTTTACATTAGTTCCTCTCCAAATCAACGCACACGGGCGCGCAAAGGTACATGGGAATGAAATAATATTTTCACGATAAATATACGGAATTTTGTACTCAACTAAGATTGCGCGCGTAAAACAAAATCAACTAACCACTAAAGTGGGTGTTCTAATATTTTATATGATGTTTTTCACCGCAATATTTTACTCCAAATCACACCGGCATTAATGGTATTGATGCTGCTTTATTCCTTCATATCGTAGGAACCATTGTTCCTGGAGAGTTAGTTGCTGAGGTGTTGCAGGAAATAGCTTCCAACAGCGAAGCAAGCAGGAAATGTTTGTGCAAGGTCAGAGTCATCACTAGCTGGGGGTATCATTATCATCATCATTACTCTTCATGTCATGAGGCAAATGAAGCAGTCACACTATTCGCTCGACTCGCTCTAGTCTGCGCCACCAGAATCATAGGGGAAAGTAGCGGTTCCAGGGGTGGTACTGTGGGTTCGATGTAACCTCCCTTTTTAAATTCCTGTATCTACCAGTAAAGAAATAGAAAACGCGCGCGCATGCTGTGTGCAGTTATAAAGCACGCGGGGTTGGCAGAACACGAGAGAAGTGTTAGGAGAAGCACGACGCGTAGCGGTGTGCTTCTCGACACTTCTCTCATGTTCTGCCTAACCCCAAGTGCTTTATAACTCCACACAGCAGCACAGCAAGTATGTTTTTTATTTCTTTTATAAAATACAAATTACAGGAATGAAGAAACTGGAAAGTGCGCGCGCGTGTTGTAAGCTCTTAAAAAGCACGCGAGCCAACCAATCAGAACGCAAGATTTATAACAGTTATTTTATAATGAGGGTTAACATAGGGTCATAAAATCAAGGTCACTTTATCCTGTAGCTCGTGATCGCTCTCTAACCGTTTCATGTGTGCTGTTCATGTTATAGGATGCCATCACATCGAATCTTCTTGCTCCAGTTCAAAACATTTTGGATGGTTTTATGGTAAGTACACGATTATAGTCGGTCTCAAAGCAGCCTTCTCACCAGAGGGGAATAGACCGGGTCTTTCTTGGTGTAGCAAGCTTTATTGTATTCTGGGTTAGGGTTTGTGTATAGAAGTTTTGCACCATCACGTGCCGGCGCCATAATCCAGCTTGGGCTGCCTGTGGTTAGATGGCAGAACAATAAAATCCCTGTGCTCTCGGGGATCGAGTTCATTCTCATATAAAACGATTGTACTACTCCTGCCATCTAACATGGCTGCCGTCACGTGATGGTGCAAAACCTCTATTGCATGGTATTGTTTAGCTTCAAACTCATTGTTTTCGGATATTGTTTTATTGTCTTCATGGCTCAGGTGCCCTGCAAGAAAGAGCCAATAGTCCTTGCCATGAATATCACCAAGTAGCTTTACTCTAGTTGCTTTGCTGTGCTTTCCATCCAGCACCCGGCAACATTCAACAAGATTTTGTCACAAGTTTGGTGAAACTTGTGAAACAAATGACACGCTTAAAGTTTTGGCATATCACTTCCAGTTAAATAAAGGTGCTGACACACGGTGCAACATTGCATGCAACATTGCACACAACAGGACTGTTGCAGCGCGTGTCTACCCCAAACGTGTTGCACGCAACGTTGCATGCAACAAATCTGAAGTTGAATGGCGCTCTACTCTTGTAACATTGCGCGCAACAAATTTCATCATGTGAACATGGCTGCAACAGCCAATCAGCTTGCACCAAATTTATAACTGCTGACCAAATATCTTAACATAACAGCCTGATATAAGCGATGTTGCGTGATGTTGTTGCAATGTGTCACTCCGATTCAAATTTGTTGCTTGCAATGTTGCGTGCAATGTTGCACCGTGTGTCAGCACCTTTAAAGAGTCGTGAAAGGGTCTGAAAGTAGCGGCCTTATCGTTTTCCTGCTCTGCTAAAGAATATACTCTACTCTAATTCCATCATGACAAGCTTTGTGAAAAAATCTCAAGTGAGCGTTAGGTTTTATGGCTGTAGGGGAGGGGACAGAGTCTCCTGTATGATTTTTTGCTGTTTTATTTAGGACCTTGATGGTATTGAAGACGCTGACTCTGAGAATGTCCTTCTTTTGATATCCGAAGTCTTGGCTACAATAGCTGCTACTGATAGTGGAAGATTACAACTGTTGTATGGGGAATCACAGGAAAGATGGCAGAGAAGCAGGTACCTTGTTGTTCATAAATACCTTTTGAAAAGATACATGGAGATTGATTTTAGTTAGAGCGCAACGCGCAAAAGTATGACCACATTTAATGTACTCGCATACTTCTATGCACGGGCTTTTTCCTGCCAAACGAGCGTTTGCACTCCTTATTTGGTAAAACCAGCCAGCTTCGCATCGAAATGTGTCGGGTTAACGTACAGAACCCGTGCATAGAAGTATGTAAATATATTAAATGTGACACGTTGGGTTGTAAACATATCCAGATCCAGATCAGTCCAGATCAGTTTGCTGGGGAAAGCCATTAAGCTTGGTGGACACCGAGTGCGGCTTTGTCTGCATATCAGAATAACTGGTTTTATATGATAAAATGTCTTAAGGGAAAACCCGTCAATTAGAGAGACCTTTAGCAAAACGTACTTGCTAGTTACCGCAGTCCCTAAACTACAGATCGACGTCAGGCGTTTTTCTTCAAACTTTCGACATTTATCAAGGCGTCATAACGAAGTTGTCGTTGGAAGAGTGCCCATATTAAATTTCATTGATGCCAAGTGTTTCTCCGTGTTTGCGGGCGTTTTTTGGGGCCGGATTCCTAGTGGATCCTAAAGGTCTCTGATGCATTAAGTGCTGAGGAGTGGGACACAAACTGCGGACGCCATCTGTCTTTTTTGTATTACAGTAAAAATGAGAACGAGTGTATCTGAATCATCAGAAAATGCAAGATACGACTCAACTCAATTCAATTCCACTGACTTATAGAAAATTGTGAATACAAAGTAGATAGGTGTAACTACATAGATATTTAAACAGTTTGGGTAAAAAGAAGAAAGAAGAATAAATAATTGTTAGCGAATCCCACTATAATAGACGTAGAGGCACTCTCATATGGTGTGTTAACGCCCGAGGCTTAAGACAGTATACTAAAATGAAATCTCTTTCTGCTCCCCCCTTCCCCGTTTATAAGAATTCTGTTTCCTACGTTGGCGAGTTAAAACTGGTTAATATGATTTATACCATTAACGCCTTTTCAGATTTTCTCCTGCTCATACCATCGCTGGGTTCGCCAAAAAGGCCTTGTCTAACAGGCTCTGTTGTTCTTTGTCCAATGATGTGATTGGTGGATTCATATTCGTGTGTCGTGTGTTGTGGACCACATGTGAAGGGCTGATTGTATTGAACCAGTACGCACTACATGATAAGGTGGCAGAAGCATGGAACAAGGTAAGAGAAGAAAGACCCGTGGGTGGAGGGGGTTAGGGGCTGATTGTATTGAACCAGTACGCACTACATGATAAGGTGGCAGACGCATGAAACAAGGTAATTAGAATATCGTAGAGAAGAAAGACCCGTGGGTGAAGGGGGTTAGGGACTGATTTTATTGAACCAGTACGCACTACAGAATCCTGAACAAGGTTATTGGAATAACATCGAATAACAACCAGTAGGTTGGAGGGTGTGAAGGCTGTAGAAGCATGGACCATGGTACTACCAGGAGGGCGGTAGGGTTGGTAAACTAATAATTGTAGTAACGCAAGTTTTAAATTCCAGTTTAGAGAACTTGCGCAATATATTTTGCTTTGTTTCTACAAGACAAACCTTCCGAGTGTCGTCCTTATTCTCTTTCTTATTCTCGTCAAGAACATGGACCTTAGTGTTGAGACTGATTCAATGTTGTTTGTAGTCGACGAAACCATTTCCGTCTTGGAATGACCTATCGCCTATCGCCTTTGGCGAGAAAAACGTTTTTGAAATACACCTATTTCAAAAACGTTTTTATCGCCAAAGGCGATAGGCGATAGGCGATAGGTCATTCCAAGACGGAAATGGTTTCGTCGACTACAAGCAACATCGAATCAGTCTCAACACTAAGGTCCATGTTCTTGACGAGAATAAGAAGCAGAAACACAAGTCATTCCGGCTATTCTTGGATCTTGGAATGGCGTATCTTCTATCGGTTTCTATAGGTGACAACCTTTTTTGGAATAGATATATATGATCAAATGCGCATTACATTCGATTATGAGACTGACGCGCTGCCTAACGATGTTGTTTAGTAACATGAACGTTTTATTTCTAGGCAATTGAAATGTCCCCATCAACACCCACCAATAGCGATGATATACCTGAACCCTTGGAAACACAACCAGAAGATATCCAAAAGACAGAAAGGTACGATAACTGACAGAATCTATGGTGGTTGCAGCCATTTGGGTTTTACAGAAGCTAACATATTACTAATGGCATAATTATTTAACAAATAGACATCAGTTTTTTTTTTGTGTCTGTCCTCTTATTGACGATAATTTGCGTCATCACCTTGTCAAAGTAGTGTGGATCCACCAGGCGTAGGCGAGATCCGCATACTTCTTTGACAATGTGATGACGAAATTTATCGTCAATAAGATAAGAGGACAGTAAAAAACTGACGTCTATTTTTTTCTTACAATAACAAGAACGATAAAAACTTCTCATTTCTAGCGGTCAAATCAACCAACGGAAAGAGCGCGCGCTCGTTGACGTCGCTTTATCTGTCTGTCCTCTTATTGATGATAATAAAAAATAACCAATCAGCGCGCGAGAAATTTGTAAGTTATTGTAAAAATATATATGGCTGCCATCATGTGATGGTGCAAAACCTCTATAGTCTTACTGTTTCTTACCGTAGCCTTAGTTACGCCATGTGATTGGATGAATTACTGGAAGACAATGGAAAGCTACAGCTGTAATATTTTTGTGGTTTTTCTAGTTTGGCATGGGAGAGTTCTCTTCTAGATAATCTTCTTAACTTTGCGGGTACTCCTAAAGGGGTACTGCTGCTGCAACAGACTGGAATGATGGATCAGTGTGTTGGTTATATGTATGAAAGATACACCAAGAAATTGCAGGTATGGTATGATATGGTGAGGTGTGGTGCGGTGCGATGGGGTGTTGTACGATGTGTCATGTGGTGTGGTGTGGTGCGGTGCGATGGGGTGTTGTACGGTGTGGTGTGGTGCGGTGCAATGGGGTGCGCTGCGATGCGGTGTAGTATGGTTTGGTGTGGTGCGGTGTGGGGTGAGATGTGGTGTGGTGCGGTGCGATGAGATGCGTTGCGCTGCATTGCAGTGTGGTTTGGTGTGATGCAGTTTGGCGCGCTGCGGTTTGGTACGGTGTGGTGTAGTACGTTGTGGTGTGGTGTGGTGTGGTGTGGTGTGGTGTGGTGTGGTGTGGTGTGGTGTGGTGTGGTGTGGTGTGGTGTGGTTGTGCCGTGGTGTGCTGTGGTATTTTGTGGTGTGGCATGCCGTGGCGTATAGCTAGTTTTAATTAATATTATTATATTTGTTTTTCAAGGTGAGCAAATGCGAGAAGTTTGGTTATGGGGTGATGGTTTCTCAGTTTGCTGCTACAGCTCCTGGCATAGTGGCATTGGAAAAGAAAGGTAAGGTGCTGTAAGTCATGCTTTGGTTCATCTTCTCTTACCGTGTTCTTGCGCGTCAGGGTACCTGCCCCTTCCGTGATCGGGAAATATATTCCACACATCTTGACTTCAATATTCTCGTTGTCTTTCTAGGTTATCTCAAACATTTGGTTCAAGATGTTTGGACTGTGTTTGAAGGATTCCATGACAGACGCATGCAGCCAATGATCAAACACATCGATACGATAGACAGCAAGTCTTATAACAAGGTATTTATAATGCTATAAAGGGTGCGCTATGGTCTTTACCACACCTACAGTGGTACCAATAAACACATCGATACGATAGACAGCAAGTCTTATAACAAGGCATTTATA